CCCCCGACTTCCCCCGAGCCAGTTAATTTATTCCACATACAATCTCCTCCCAGCCTCCAGGGAATCCAGCTTCATGGAGGTCCTCTTAGTGGAGGATTTATCAAACCAGAGTATATGCATGGTATGAACATCAGATCCATTATCTAAGCTGTTGGTTTTAGTCGAAATGTCAAGAAATGATTTAGTATAAAATCCGTCACAAAAGCATTTATTAAAAAATCTTTTGCTGCTCTTCATCTACAAACATTTACTACCCTGCATACAAATGTCAGTGGTTCAGCCTAATATACTTCTTCATTATTTACTGTTCACTCCTGGATAAAAGCCAAAAAGGATGTCCACCAGGACTGCAGCACGGTACAGACCAGAGCTGCCCGACATCAGGTGGGGTGCTGTGGGGGCCAGAACACTGCACAGAGATCAGGCCTTCTCTGGGGAGCAGAGTCCTCCTCATGTCAAAGCTTCACTTACAAATGGAAGTTTATCAATGTATTACAAGGACTTTCCAGAGTAAACCAAACTAAATAAGGACATGACAGCTAACTGATCCATGCATGCCAGTGTACTTTTATCCAAATATAGAATTTATAAAAAAAAAACAATAATTAACCTGCTAGGTCCCCGCCTTAGTCCACAGACCCTGGATTGTCTCCATGGAGCTCCTCTCGTGTTGTCCAAATTCTCTAAGTTAAGCCAGTTCCCATGGCGTCGTGGGATTCTGTGGTGGGGAAGGGCTCTTCATCCTTCATACCTCAGCATGACACCCACCCTTCATTACCAGGAAACAGGGAGAGCTCCGGAGGATCTGAGCAGCCTGTCGAGGTCACACAGCTGGCTGGTGACAGAAGAGCTCTAGAACCTTGGATGCGTGATTTAGGATTAAATGGATGTCATTTGGCCCGGCTGGAGGGGAGCACCAGGGGATTCCAAGTCAGAGAGAGCGGCCAGAATAAGCAAACAAATATGGGCCATGGAAGCTCAGGGGGAGCTTGGGTTTCAGAGCCTCGGTTATAAGCATGAAAAACCACATTTCACCTCCCAGTAACCCCAGTCTGCTTTCTATCTTCCAAATCTACACCAGTCACGTCACACTTACAACAGGTTATCGATGCCTTCCTTACGAGACCCACGTACTCTGAATTGGCAAGGCAGCCATCCAGCTGTGAAACACCCTCTGCAGACAAATGGATATGCTCCAACCTGAAGGAGCCAGGCACGTTGTCCAGATCACCTGGCCATGGGGACCTGGGCTTTAGTGGAGCTGCACCCAAGGCCAGCTTTGGAACCTCAGCAATAAATGTGCATGCCATGCTCTCTGCATTTGGGGGTGCCTCCTGCTCTTAACTTGAGCAAACTTTGCCAGCATGAGAACCCCAGTCCCACCCCACCCTGGGCCTCAGCAGCAGGAAGGTGCTTGTGCCAGAGTTGTACCCACACCCAGTTTTGAGTGTCTATCAGACAGGGGTGTAGAGAGGGGAGGATGGAGGAGCTGCAGGACCAGCAGGGCAGGCCATGTCCCCAGTCCCAGAGAGCTTCTTTGAACCTCCCTGGATGCTCTGGGGTAGGAGAGCTTGGAGCAGGGCAGGCTTAGACCGGAGAGGAGGGCAGACAACACCAGGTGCAAGCCCAGAGCACCCCTCCACCGTCACTCCTTGTCTCAACTCCTCATTCCCTTCTCTTCCCCTCCCTGCCTCACGTCATGAAGACCCTCTGCTGAGGGCACAGTGGGGTCAGAATCAGAAACACGACAGCCCCCAGCAGAAGCCAGCATACACTGAGTGTGTCCCCACCCGTTGCTGGGCCCGCTGCCGTACAGCTCCCCAGGAGCAGACACAATTGTTAGCCACCTCCTCCTTTCCAGAGCCTTCCACAGTCTGATACTTGCACAACCTGCTGTCACTCTTGCCCTCTGCCTCCACAACCCGAGCTACAGGCCAGGAGGCAGGGACTGTGGACCCTGATGGCCACTGGAACCCTGTGCCTGACGACCCCAGGGAAGGCCCCTGACGGCCAGAATGGGAGTCCAAGATTGCAGAACGTGGCGGCTCCCAGGTCTCCCCAGCAAGAGACAGGATCAAGCTGTGGTGAGGTTAGCCACATGTCCCTCTCCCTCCTCCCGCCCGCCCGTGTCTCTGGCCTCTCAGGCCCCCTCTCAGGCTCCTGGAGAGCAGCACAGGCAGTTCCCAGCTCTGAGGCAGACGTGGCCCCTGCTCTTCCTAGACTGTTCCAGATTGAGAGATGCCCAGGTCTTGGTGCCACCTGCAGCTCCCCTTGTGGCAGGTGTGGCTCCGGCTCGTCTCCCCGGGTTGAAGAATTCGGCACCCTCAGCTGCAGCTCCCATGCACTGATCTTCCCAGCGTGAAGTACATCTGTATCACTTAAAGGAGCAAGCTCAATTATTTAACTCTACCTAGATTTAGTTCAAATATAAGAGTTACAGTGTACATCTGAGACTTCTGGGAAATTGATTTTTCTGCTTAAGATCATTTCATAGGGTTTAGCATGAAAACCAAATCGGGCGCAAACCGATCTCTTAGTAGATACTGAGCTTGTTTCCTTTCTCCAAAGACTGGCTGAGGCCAGAGTCCTGCCCCTGCCCCTGCCCGGCCGTGTGAGTGGGCTGATGTTCAGGATGTTCACAGGCCGAAGGGCCTGCCCGCAGTCTTCTTTAGAGCAGCCATGGAGCCTTCCCTCATCCCAGCACCATGGACCGGACATGCCCAGGGACCACTGGAGACCAGGAGGGACCGTCAGCACACATCGATGTCACAGCCACCCTCTCAGGACACCTGGGGAGCTGAGAGGGCTGGAGGAGGGGTGGGGTTTCTGGGGCTTCTCGGCCATCGCCAAGTGGTTTCTTTGGTTTCTCCTGAGAGTCAGCACTGGGGCCAGGGAGTTTAGACTGAAACCTGTCACAGACGACACCGGGGTGCTTCCCAGGGTGCTTGGGCTGATCCTCGTGCTCACAACTAAAGCACTGTCATGGTTTCTGTGAAGATGCTCTGTGCCCTTGAGCTTCTCAGAAGAGAGAGGACCGTGTGGCCCTGTGAGGACAACGTCCCAAAGAACTTTACAAACAATGGCAGCCTAAAAAGTGGACATGGCGAGCTTTCAGATGAAGAGTCCTCGCAGAGAGCAAGAGCGCAGGCCCCAGGCACTGCCGTGGAGGCCCCGCTCTCCCTGCAGGTGGGTCCCTGATTGATTCCCTCTGGGGGGAGATGTGCAAGCCAGGGTGCCGCTGGAGTAGGATTATCCCAACCGGAGAGACGTGGGCAGGGTGTGCTTCAAAGGGAGAACTCAATCAGAACCAGTCCCTCTGCCACCCGTGGGCCACGGGGGCTGCTCTAGGCCCAAGAGTCTCTGTCTGTGATGAGCAGCACGTTGGCTATACCTGCTGGTGGGCAGCAGGGACTCCCAGCAGTAACTACAGCCCCTGGCACAGAGCAGGCACCCAGTAAATGATGGTAGTCACCTGTTACTTACTGTCATCGTCAACACGCGTGCAGCACAGTGCCTCGCCCATCCGAATAAAATACAAAGAAGAGAAAGAAACAAACACAGTTCCCTGTCCTCTACCTGTGTTCTCCCCAACTTAGATGAAATCTAACAGCCCACTAAAGGCTCCCAGTGACCTTGTACGCGGCAGCAAAGATGGGGCTCAAGAGCAAAGCCCAGGGATACAGGGACCTCAAGGTCCCTGATGCCTCACAGCCACTGTTCATCTGACCTGGGCGATGGGGGTGCACTCAGAGCCACTCTCTCTAGCAAGAGTGACCAGCAGAGCTTTCCACGATAAAGAAAGTACCTGCATCTGTGCCAACCTGGGCAACCATGGGCGGCTGCTGGGCACCTGAATCCTGGAAGAGCCACTGGGAAAATGGAGGCTTAAGTTTCATGTAACTAATTAATTTAATGGATTGACTGGTAATTAATCAATTAATTGATTCCATTTAAAAGCAACCTGTAGGGAAGGGATACTGCTTTGGGCATCCTGACTCTAGCACAAGGCTGGAGAGGCTGGCCGCTCTGAGGCCAGGGTAGTTAGAAGGTGCAGCCTGGGCCTGCACAGCCTCCAGGGAGCAGCTGTCCTCTCCAGCCCAGGCTCCTGAGGTGGAGGCTGCTGGGAACACTGTGTCCAGCCCCTCCTGCCTCGTGGCTCCAAGGCAGCCAACTCAGCACAATGCAGAGTGCTCCTGCACAGGCAGGCTACCCCCCTCCTCTGTGGCTGTCTTCTCACCTGGGTCTTCCATCTGTCCCCCAGGCAGACTCTCTAGTCCGCACCCTGAGCTGTTTCTGCCCCGTTTTCTCAGGGTCTGTAGGGGTTGGAGACAATCTTCACCCACCACAGGGCCTCTTAAGAACAGCACCCTGCACATACAGAAGAATGTTCTGACAACTTGCTCACGGCAGATGGTCGAGATCAAAGAGCAAGCTCAAGTGCCAATGGGGGTGTGAGGCTGCTCGAGGACCGTCCTGACACTGAGCGCTGGCAGCATCTACAAGCTCCAGCCAGCAGCGGGGCCAGAGCTAAGCCCCTCTGCTTAAGGAGGGAGGGATCCAAATACTCAAGAGTGACCCTGTAGAAAGGGAAGCAGGGTGGTCACATGCAGGAGGGCCCAGAGAGGAGCGCCAAGGACAGTGTGGTGGATGGCAGGTGGCAGTGTGGCTGGACTGACCAGGGCCCCATCAAAACTAGTGTGGGCAAGCACATCCCAAAGGCCAAAGCCAGGCCCTTCCACTTTTGCACAGCCACAAACTGGGAGTGTGTATTACATTTGTCAAGGGCAGAAAAAAGTCAAATGAATGATAATATTTCATGACACATAAAAAGTCTATGATGGGGCTGGGGATGTGGCTCAAGCGGTAGCGCGCTCGCCTAGCGTGCGTGCGGCCCAGGTTCGATCCTCAGCACCACATACAAACGAAGATGTTGTGTCCGCCGAAAACTAAGAAAAAATAAATAAATATTAAAAAAAAAAAAAGTCTATGAAATTCCATTTCAGTACACATAAATAAACTTGTGAGCATGTAGCCACACTTGTGTGTTTCCACACACCCGTGCTGGTCTTCAGTCTTCAACGGCAGGGCCTGGGCAGGAACCTGAGAATACCTGGCCCTTACAGAAGAAGGCTCCCGGCTGCTCTCCAGCTCCTCGGGAATCTCCAGAGCACCACCACGGACCCAGACACACAGGGCACCAATAAAGGCCAGGCAGAGGCACCCTCTGGGTAGAGAGGAAGGTCACGGCCAGCATTAGCATTCCTAGGGCTTTCCTGTGCCACACACTGTTCAGTGGACACACACATCACACACCTCACACACACCATATACACATCACACACACATACACACACATACACACCTGTCCTACGGAACAGAAAATAAAAACTATTTATAGCTTTTAAAATATAAATAAAACTTATTCCCATATTAGAAATTATTTCTTAAAAGGCAGCAAGGCCCAATATTTGGAACTATAAATTCTAATTTCTGCAGCAGAGAAATTTCCACCTGGAGCTTTGGCATCACCTGGGGAGCCCAAAAGTCTCTTGGACAAAAGACCAGGAGCCAACTGGGAAAGGCAATGGCCAGATGGCTCCAGACAGCCTCAGATCCCCACCAAGAACGCCCCTGGGTGGGAAGCAGGCAGTGTAACACAGCACGACGCTCCTCAGGGAGGGTTAGGAAGAGCTTCAGAAAGTCAGGCCGTGTTTCCTCAAATCTCTCTATTTTATAATCTGACCACTGGCAAAGCCAGGCCAAAATAGAATGCCCAGGGCTCAAATCACAGGCACAGAGTTGGGTCACCTCCACAATCTGACAAAAGACATTGTCTAGCCACGCCAAACAAGGAGGGGCCTAAGACAGGTAGGCAGAAGAGGGCACACACAAGATGTGCTCCGTGTGAGGTTTCAAACGGCTTAGTGACAGCTCTGAGAACCTGTCTGGGGATAATTTTATGGAAAAGCAGTCACAGTGATATCAATTAGGAAAGCAAGGAGGATGTGTGTCGCCATTTTCAGAGGGAAAGGGCTGCTTGATTTTCCTGGGTGTGCTCTCATAGCCACTTTGAAGACCTCTCAACTGAGAAGGGAAATCCAGTTCTGACAGGTTCCCCACATGTTCCTCCCATCACTTCATCTTTCATCCTCCACTAAGTGGGGCACTCAGAACCCGGGTGGGGCTGGGGCCGAGAGCTCAGAGCCCCGCCTCCCCGGAGTCCTTGGCACTTGCTGGAGTGAGTCCCACCAGCCCTTCCTAGAGCCTCAGCATGCTCATCTGTGCAGTGGGAATGAAGCCCAGCCTTGCCGTATGCAGCGAGCCTCTGCTGAGATGAAGAAGTGAGATTGCTAAGCAGAGGGGGAATATGGTTATATTTATCACAACAGTAACCGAATGAGGACCAGGGCAGGTGGGAAAAGCACCCCGAGTGTGTTTGTCCACCAGCACCCGCAGACTCTCCCTGATCTAAATGGGGGATGCCAAGTGTACCACTTGGAAGCCTGGAGGTCGACTGCCACACACATAGACCAAGTGCCTTTTGTGGCCTCCGGCCCCCTCCCCTAGGAAAGTACAAAAGGCCTAGAGTCTGTCTAATTCCGCTTTTGTGCTGTCTCAAACCAGAAAATGCTCACAAAACAAGAAAACTATATTGACACAATCCCCAAGATAGAACAGGGGAGAGATTTTGATGGGGAGACAAGAGCAGAATGCTGAATCTCCTTAATGGTGAGTTTACATCAGCCCAGAGTATCTTCAACATACCAGCTCTAGAAAACACCACACAAAAAGGAGAGCTGGGTTCTGCGCTCTGTGACCAGGAGAGGGTTGGCCACAAGTGTGTGTGCTCCCGCCTCTGGAGGAACAGCACAATTCTCACCACAAGGGCTACTGTGAGTGGCTTGCACAGGCTAATATCATATGAATAGAGATGTTTTAAATGTATTAAACATTGGTCCCTTTTTTAAGAGATTACACTGACAGAGCCTTCCTTAAACATTATTTGAATAAAGCCTCATTACTCACAGTCCAAAGAAGTTCATTAGGAGGAGATGGCTTTGGAAAGAAATCAAGGAGCTGGCCTTTCTTCTCAGCAGTGAATTACATTAGCAACTTCCTAGTTATTTAAATCTTGAAATAAAAGATGTAAACGCTACAGTGACATCTTAAGATCATTGCGAAGGCAGGTCTTGCATGCACAAAAATGCCCAGCTGGTCTGCAGATAAAACAGATTGATAATTAGTTGCAAAATGTAACATTTCATCAAGAATATTTTGAATAATCCAATTTATCTTTGTCAGATATGCAGCACATATTTTTCTGGGGAGCAGCTTTGTTCTTTAACATAATATTATAATTTCAGGCTGCTAATGAAGGCGCCCGCCGGCCGGCCGGGCCTTGATGTGCAGCGTGGCGGGGAGCGCGCCGCGGC